AGACATGGTTGATAGTTTTTGTTGGTTTTATTGTAGGACCTTCTTGAAAGGACTGGTTGTATAAGTAACCTAGGTCAACCCCATTGGGAAGCTAAGGCATTGGCTGTCATTGGATATATTCGGGATACCAAGGTATTTTGTTTTATCTTTTCATGGGACTTTTTGTAAAATTTGAGAAGAGCTTCTTCTCTTATATTATTGATTCAGGTTTATTGACTTATCATTAGTACTGTGGGTCATTGTCAAAGCATTAGTACAATTCAAACACCACATTATAATATTACTTATATTTTATATTAGAGATATATGATTTAGTTCTTAAATTTCTTATTATATACTGTCTTTAGTGTTCTTAGTAATTTATATACAAAAAATAAAAATGGAAGAAAAAATATCAAATTAAAAGGCCAATATTTAAAAATGAATTTTCAAAAATTAAAATGTTCAAAATAGGTTTCATTTATTTTCACTATGTTCTTTTAAAACAATTTATGACCAATCTGAATCCGCTTCAACTTTTTTCACATCCAAAGCAATTGCTAGTAAATTTGTCCTGGCTTTCCTGCATAAGAGTTGAGGTTAAAAATAGGGTGGAGGTTTAAAAATTTGTGAAGAAACGAGAGTCAAACAACAAGATTAGAGCGGACAAACTCTCTCTTTTAGGCGCGTATGAATAAAGAAAAAACTCCTGCTCGGTGAGTAACAACAAAAGAAGAATGTGTTTATTTACAACATATACAGAAAAAAAAAAGGTAAAGGGATGGAAGGACGTTTAGTAGAGAAAGAAAGGGAAAAGAGAAAATGTTCTTAAGTTAAAAAAGGCTTGCTCAAAATATTTCTCTGAGCGCCTAAAGAGTTCTTTAAGCTATTAGATATTATTGCTAAGGTTCAGATAGATACACTCACAGTTCTTGTAGAGTTGGAAATTTGTTCGCAGATGAAGGAATCATGCAGCTGAGTGAGTTTTTAGGTTGACGACAGAAGTCCAGTGTGCTCATCAGAAGAAGTGGTGAAGGGATGCAGCTTTGGATTGGTCTTGAATAGTGGACCAACGTTAGTTTTTGACAGCCGTTTTTAGTAGTTCTTCTTTGGTGAAAGAGGTGCTGGAGCTCCCTAATGTCAACCTCACAGACGGTGGTCAGAAATCTCACTGTCGAAATAGGCAAGATTCTCCAAATTTATGCTCTGATGGATCGGGGACTTTTCCCTCCAAAATCGTACAGATTTCCTGGCCCATCTATTGGTCAGAAAACACATTCTTATCTCTGATAAGAATCAGGGCCCTGGGAACCGGTTTCGAAGGTACTGAAAACAGGTTGAAGTGAAGAAGCTGTGAGGTTTCTCCCAGACTTTATGGCACCATGGAAAGAATAATGGTGGTGGAATTCCTTTTTATTTTCCAGCTCTCTCCTTAGTTAGAAAATATATTCTTATCTCTGATAAGAATCAAGATCTTGGGAGCCATTTTTGAAATTAAAAGAAGAGGTTGGAGTGAGAATAGAAAAAAATAGCGAGAATGTGAAATTGTTTTTCTCAAATTCCAACACAATGAAAAGGTTACTCTGATTGTTGCATACATTTCTACCATAATTATTATTTTATTATTATATGCTTGTAATTCACACAAATATTATGGCTAAAACCAAAAACTCCTTGTAGTTACTTGATAGTTACTCAAAAAAAGCTACTTGTCTAATCATGAAAATTTGATGTTCTGATTTCTTAACTTGCTAAGGAAAAACATTTTGTTGGCAGTTTAAACACTCCACTATACTAACAGATCGTTAAATGCCAGAGGTTACAATTTTTAATCTTTTTTTTTTTTTTCACTTTTTTCAATTCAATCATTAATCTTGTCTTCATGCATTTATTTCCAGCAAAAAATTGCTGCTGTCCTTGAAGTGATGAAGTGGGCTCCAATTCCATGGACCCCAGAGATCCAAAGATTAGTTGATGATGCTTTAACACTCAAGAGCCCTGAGTAAGTTACTTACTTTTTATGAAATCTCTTGTTATAAGTGACTATATGCTACTATTTTAGGAATTTTGTTACTTTTTCAGCCCTTCTCATAAATAAATACTATAATTATAGATGATGATGATCATCATCATCATCATCATATATAGTTATAGTGATTATTTATGAGAAGTGCAGCTAGTGTATATTTTAGGTAATATGTTGATGATAAAGTGTTCATTAATATACAGTACGTATTAAAGGCATACTACTCTCACTGCTGTGATATCACTTCCAACATCTGTTAAGATGAGGACCAGTGTGTATAAATGATAATCAGTTGAGTGATGTCAGGTGAGAGTTCAAGCCATGTTTAGGAGACAAGAATTGCACTTCAAGGGACCAGAAATCTTTTTTTATGATATCAATCTGATACAAATCTAACTGACTCATGGTGGAAGATAGAGGTCATATTTCAAGGAAAATTAGAAAATATCAGTTTGATATGGAGAGAAAAAAATTTTTTTAACTTATACGTCAAGTTTTAGTTCAAATTTTTTTCTGTTCTTAATTTTTATCTTGTGAATATCAATTTTTCTTTTACAATCTAAATTTGTATAAAACACTTTTTTTGTTTCTTAGAGCATAAAAATAGCTATGGTTACTGGCATATGATTTTGGTTTGTATAATGCATGATCTATGTGTGTCTTATTGAGAGCAGGAATTGGAGTTGTCTTTAAATAGATCATGTGATCTATTACTTTGACCCATTTTGAATTGGAAAATAAAAAATTGCAGAACCACCAATTTCACTGGCTTTATAGTAATGAAAATTTAATACATTTTACTAGGTAATTGTCAGTAATCAATTATAGAGGAAATTTGCCTTACAATTTTTTATTTTTTTTTTTTTTTTTTTTTTTTTTTTTAGAAATACTGCATTTGTTTTAAATTGTGATTGATTTTTTGTTTAAACAGAGTGGAAGCTGTAAAGAAACAAGCAAAACTGGTTGAAATAAAGAAATGGCTTCAGAAGTATAACCTGAAAGGAATTGACATTCCTAAAGCAAACACAAATGAAGCTTTTGTAAGATGAATTCTCTTGTATATATTATTGACTCTATTTAACAACAAAAAAAATCATAGGCAGAAAATAAACATGACAAACTCATATATGTTAATATAAATTACTTTATTCACACAATGCATTTAATGTTTTTACTTTTCCTCCTTTGTTAATCCAAATGGAAACTTGTTTTTGTCATTGATTCCAAACTCTGTCTATTTTATAATTATAGCCATTTAAATACTTTAAATACAGTAGATGTCACATGTAGAAGCCTTCATATTTGCCATACATTCAAATTAAAACTGAACTTTTAAAAACTTTGTGGATTTTTTGAAACAGTTTTAAGTAATGCTTCCATGTTGAATCTGTAATCAAGGTTTAAAATCAACAAAATAGTTGATTAAAACCAAAACAGCTTAGCAGTCTGAAAATATTTTCACTTTTTGTTTGTCTCGGTTCATTAAACGCCATCTCTCTTCAGGATGTAAATAATCATAGCTCTCCACAACTTGCTTTTTCTTTAATAACTCTAAACTGCATTACCATGTTTATAAAATGATTTCCGTTACTTTTTCTGTGTTTTTTGGATTCAAAGTTATTGTTGGCTGCCAGCCAGTCAAAATATGAGAACTCCGTTTACTTTGCTATTTATAATTTACTAGGGAGAATAGATGGATTCATGCCTTTTTCAATAGCATCAGTGGAAAAGGAACTTAAACTGTCTTAGCTGGAATTTAAATTTTACTTGCAGATTCCATTTCTTGCATGTCATGTCTTTTTGTTTTGTGATAAAATACAAAAAACTTGCATGCATAGATCTTACTCACATATGGAAAATGCATTGTATATTTATATATTTTTTTGTGCAACTTATTTCTCAGTGTTTTAGAGCATTGCACAACAGTTCCCATATGATCACCAAAGTTAAGCAATATTGAGCCTGGTTAATAACCAGGTAGATGACTGCTTGTGAAAAACAGGTTGCTGTAAGCTTGGATGTGTAGGTGGTGTAATAGATAGTAGCTTGAAATTGTTTATTAGAGAGGTGAGTTCCAATTTCAGTTAGGGGTCATTCCATGTCAATTCACCAGGGCATTACACTCACCGACACCGAATTACTTGAAATTTGGCAAAAATGTTCCCCTTCATGAGTTAGGAAAGTGTGCCAAATTATTTTGTGCTGTTCAAATTTTAAGGGGTGGGTTATAATTTTCCTATTTTGCCTCTAATATTAAGGCAGCGCAATGTCGCCGAATTTGTGTTTTTTAAAAATTAAAGAAAAATACTTCCATACCTTCAATATTTCTGAAATTTGGTATGTAGGGCAAATAAGAAGTGTAGAATCCAAATATTTAACTATTTCAAGCCTACACTTGATAGAAAATTTTATTTTGCTCACCCAAATACATGACCCCAAAATCTATCTGTACAAAAAGTAATATCTGCAAAATATATTTAAATAATTTATTTTCAAATTAATAAAAACAATCTTATTGAATAGTTTAAGAAGTTACTTAGCACAATATCAACATTTTAGAGGTCATGGGCATTAGGATGATTCTTTAATTATAATCTTTCTCGGAAATCCTACACATACATAGGAAAAAACTTGGCAGGGTCTTCTAAAGTAGACTTAAAATCATCACAAAATTTTTTGGTGAATTTGAGCAGGTATTGTAGATGTTAGGCAAAAAATATTATGAAAATTGAAGAGGTCGTATTTTCGATAGACTGACTGTAAGCTATATAGGTGAAACATTGTTGATTTTGGGGTCATGTGTGTAGGGAACACAATCAAAAAAGTCATGGTCGAAATGTCCTGTTCATTCCCATTTAGGGAGCAGCCAAAGGCGGCCGTGACAGATTTATTGAATTTCATTGTGGCTGGAAAATACCAACTTTGATTTCTGGTCATAGGCCATTGTACTAACACTAACAATAAAAATATATTGATTTTTATCTGCTATTATTATAGTCTTATTATTGCCTAATAATATAACCATAATTTTTGACTTAACCAAATATTTTTAACATCTAATTACTGTGTAAGGTTTTTTTCTTTGAAAATTATAAAAATAGAAAATCTTCATTGCATATTTAATTGATATGTACAACAAAATATACACTTTGATTAAAATATTTTAATAATTTAAATGAGTTTGGAATAACTTAAAACAGATCTACATGCAAGGCATGATGTGCAAATATTTATTATTACACTGAAGTAAATATTGATATTTCCTTTTTTTGCACAATAATAAATGCTGCTGTCTTGCTGTGACGTAATTTGTAGCAAAATTGTGACAAGTTTTGTGATAACATTGTCCACTCATCTGTCGTTTACTGCACCTGTGATGACATCCAAGGTTGATTGTATTTGCATATACACCCAACTCGCTATGTGCACAGGTTTGTCTTCTTGTTGGCCATGATTACTTTCAACAAATAATGATAATGAGTACAAATGTTTTTAAAGACACTGGTTGGGAGTTCATAACAATACAATTTCTCATTAGCTGGCTATCTTCAGCTGAACTGCTATCTCTCTAACTTTGGCTGGTCCTTTCCACTCTGGGCTTGGCAACTCCTGATTCCTCATTACTGGTCCTTCTGTCACTGGCCATTAGGCAGCTACTAACTCCTGGTCACCTACCTACTTCTCTCACAGCTGGACCAACCTTTTTTTTTTTTTTTTTTTTTAACTTTTTGCCTCTCTCAACTTTTTGCCTCTCTCTGCTTGTATTGAAATCACTTCCACTTGTCTTTTGGAAGTTTTGAAACCAACCCAGATCTTCAAAAGACTACTTTTATGACTATCTAAAATCATTGATAAAATTTTATGTTTGCTAATTCAAAAGCAAACTGGACACATGAATCCTGAAAATCTGGCAATTCAGTTGCCTCAAGGATGGACTGGAGACGAAATTCCTATGAAACTCAGATAACTAAGTGGACTTAAAAGGAAGGAATTTATCTCCTTATCTTCTAAAGATGTGTGAGAAATCAGATTGTTACATTGCAAGTGACTAGCACAATATTGTAAGATGAATTATCTTGTCTCTGAAACAGAACTGATGATTTTCTAAGAAAAGTTATCTGGTTTGTGGCAGTGAACATCTTAAAGAATGTATTTGCCAACATATCAAATACATTTTTATATTTCTGAATTCAAATCATTTTAAAATTAGTGTTGCTAAATCTTCATTGTTTAGTCTCATCATACCAATATATTCAATGTATTTGAAGCTCTTTTGATGTAGGAAAGAAATGGCTAGGAAACAAAACATTTCCAAATTTATATAAGGTTTTTGGTTAACCCATTAATGGCCACCATCCTATTTGCAGCCTGTAGGCATTTATGAATTTTCAGTAGAAACCTATAATTAATACCAGATTGTTATTTTTATTTTTAAAATTAATATTGGATTTTGTGGTGGCCATTAATGTGTTAATACTGTTTATGATTATACACAAAATTGATTTTTTTTATTTTTTATTTTATTTTATTTTTTTTTTCAAATACTTTTGATATTGGTGTAATTTTAATTGTGCTTATCTTTTCAGCAATTATCAAAATATATACTAATGAAGGATGAGCCAGACAGTCTGGAAGATGCTCTGAAAGTTTTGAGGCCTGAGGGGAACAATCTCAAGACAGATCTTTACATGTTCAGACTTCGATATCTTGTGCTCCATGATCGTGTAAGCTAGTGTTCCAATAAATTACTTAATAATCACTTGAAAATTGCTGAAAATCTTTTGTTATATGACAAAATTAGAATTTAATATCAGTTTTAATCCTTTTTTTTTTTTTTTTTTCCCCCAGTTAAGTGAATGTTTGGAATTGCTTAAATCTTTGGATGCAGATATGATTGTTGTTTGTGCCCAGCGTCTTCTCACTTTCTGTTACATCCAGTTAGATGAAGAATTTCATCTGGACCCTGAGGTAAGTCAAACTTTGCTGGTTAGTGAATTTTTTATTTATGAAAATTTATGCACAAATTATTTATTTTTATTTTTTTTTTTTTGTCACTAATGAACTTGTATAGCTGCTGCATTGCCAGGTGTTTCATTTCACAGGCCTGCATAGTTTTCTTAAAAAAAATATTATTCTCTCTATGTAATGAGTGAGTGATATCATAGATAGGATTATTAAACACATGCACCAAAATATATTTCATACATTTCAATGATTATATAAAATAATGTGGGCAGAAAGTCTTGGCTGGAAGAGGAATATAACGTAATTATGGTTATATTTTATTACCAACTGTTTTTTTGAATCTTGACAAGGCTTCAAGATTTTTTTATTGCTGCCCACTGACTTTATTGCTACTCTGCCATTTCCATAAATTAGCATTAGTCATTTTCTTTAATAACACACTAAATATTTTTTGATATAAGTTAAAAAAAATATTTAATGATTGAATATCAAATGTTGCACTTTTGACAAGACCAGAATTTGTTTTAGCACATTTTGCCACACAATCTGTGTTATGCATTGAAAATCAGGGCGAAAGAGATTGCCAGGAATTAATACAATTCTTACTGGGGCTATATATATATATATATATATATATATATATATATATATATATATATATATATGTGTGTGTGATAAATCCATTGTTAAAGATTTTTACTATAGAAATGTATGTAAAATCAGGAAGAAAGGGATTGTCAATGGTTAATAATTAGTGAAAACCATACTGACCAAATAGAGCAAATATAATGTAACAAATTAGAACTTGTTATAATGTTTTTGTAGTATTGTATTGTATTGTGCTATAAAAGCAGAATGCCACAGTAAATGCCAGTTGAGTTACCATCTTTTGACCTGACAATGTCTATTCCAGAGATTATTTCATAACAATATCATTGCTGACAAGAAAGTCTCCGGAGGGGAGAATGAAAGTACAGATTTATTTTTGGCTTTGGTAGAGTGTGAAACCAGAAGAAAATATCCATTATGGTGTGCCCCAAAATACTGGAAGACTTAACATACGAGGAAATTTCAACCATTATAAAAAAAAAAAAAAAAAAACGTGACCAAAAATAAAGCTAATTATTGCAGAGAGATTTCTGGAAAATAGAACCCGAATGAAACCGTAATGCAATATTTACACAGATTGGAAGAAGCATCAAGATAATGCAAATTTGAAAAACTGGGTTCAAAGAGAAATGTCTATAGAAGACAAATTGATCCTGCTATGATTAATGACTATCACATTACATACAAACATAAGATCCTAGAATGGCTACAAGCAAATGATATGAATTTAAAAGCAAGTGTAGAATTCTTGCAGCAATTAAAATTAATGAATTTAATAATTCTAAAAACAATGTGGAAGTATACAACACATCTGAAATCCTAATTAAGTGCAAATATTGCAACAACACGAAACAAAAACAAATGTCCAGCCCTAGGAAAATTATGTTTAAACTGTAAAAGAAAAGACCATTTCCAATCTGTGTGGATACAAAAAGAGAATAGAAAAGGTAGAAAATATAAACTCTCATAGTGAAAATACAGAAGTATATTCAGTAAGAACACCTGCAAAAAGTAGAGAAACAGTAAATTTGAATAGCATAACTTTTCCCATGCAGGTTTACATTGGAAGCAATGTTACCTTGATCACAAGGAATTTCTTGGAAAAAAACTGGTAAAGCCTAATTATGAAAAAGTAATCTTAATTTAAAACCATTTGATGGAACTGTCAGTAAAACTCTAGGCTCCTTTTAACACTGAATTTCAGCAGTAAAAATTAGAAATGTCTGAAAATTGAGAAGATAAAATACTGCACTGGGTTGAAATGGATGTGTTACCTCTAAATCATCTTCGAATGATAGCCATACAAGTTCCAGTGTTAAGTAGAATTTTCAGACGGAATAAAAAGAAAAACATGGAGCAGGTTTTCAATGGCAAAAAGAGCCTACAAAGAATCAAGTTATAAGCTAAATGTAGAGAAAGGCATAATATGCATTGGAAATATAATACCCCTACAAAGTTTAAAAACAGGAGTACTAAAAGGTGTATACAATAATGTACATTGTGGTATAACAGCGACACAAATGAAATTAAGATTACATGTGTGGTGGCCAGGATATTCTCAAGATGTAGAAGACTGTAAAAAGATACTCAAAATATGTTGAAATAATAATAAAAAAAAAAAAAAAACTTTCAGCAAAACAAAATTCACTCACAGCCTAAAGAAAGAACCATGGGCCAGGTATATGTGGATCATGCCCATATTAAAGGCATGGGGTTATTTTTAATTTTAGTGGACTGGACTCATTTTCAGGATGACTGGAAGTAATTAAGGTTGCTGACAAAAACCACCACTGTAAAACAAATATTAAGAACAATATTTTCAAAGAATGATGTGCCTAAACCTTTGGTCTCAGATAATGTGCCAGAATTTTGCGAGAAAAATCTGTGCTTGTGGCTAAAGCATATTAGATGTGTCCTGTATAAAACACCACCCTACCACCCACAATCAAATGGAATCACAGAAAGAATGGTGAAGACTGCGAAAATGGGACCGAAAGCATTTTCCACATCTAATGATAATATAGAGAGTTACTTACCAAGATTACTGTTCCACTTGCCAGCAGGCTAAAACGTCCCTCTACCTTAATGGGTAGACAGATTAGAGCTCTCATAACGTCATTTTTAACAAGTGAAAGTGTATGGTATAAAAAAAGACAAAGTATCAACATGAAGGGGAGGTGAGGATTAATGAATCTAGTAGTGAAACTGAACAATCTATGGATGATAATGACCAGAAATCTGACAAGGAGTTGGAAGAGGAAAATGAACTCTGACCTAGGTCCCCTATAAGACACCGAGAAAGACAGTTTAGATAATAAATGATTAATTCAAAGAATAATTAGAAGAACTCAAAGATCAACAGAGCACAAGGCCATTTCGGTTCAATGAGGTGTAGTATTGTATGTAAATAAGATACTGCTATAAAAGCAGAACACCACAGTGAATGCCTGTTGAGCTACCATCTGTTGACATGACAATATCTCTTCCACAGATTACTTTACTTCATAACAGTTTGAATTGATAAAATGCATAATATATACATACATAAATGCTCCTTTTCTGCAGTGAAATTGCTCAAAGCATGCTTAAGTTTAGTTTTACATTGTGTTAAGTTTGTAGAAAAGATGTCTTTGCTATTCATTTTGATTGAAAAAGCTCCTTGCAAGTAAGCTTCAGTAAAATTTACCTCATTATCTCTTTTTGTGTTTTGAAATTTAGTATAGACTTATTCCCTTTAACAAGAGCTCACTAATACTTAAAATGTTAATGTTTCTATGTAATTATTTTCTGATATTTTGCTTTCCTGATAGAATTTCTTTTATTAGTTCTTGAGTTTTTTAATTTGATTTTAAACTTTTTAGGATACCAAGAATAAGAGAACTTTAGTAATTACTGCTGGCAAATGCCTCATAGATTTTCTGCAAATGCACATCACAGGTAAGCTGCTTTCTTCTTTTTTTTTTTTTTTTTTTAACAGAAACATGATATGCATTAAACCTAATCAAGAATAAAATCCCTAGAATTAGTATCATAGTTGGGGAGAAAGAGGAAAGATTAGTGTATTTGGGGATGCATCATTGAAATTGCTGTAATATATGACAGTTACATGGCTTAATAAAAATTATAAATGTTCAAGTAATGCTTCATTAACACACAGTTGAATGAAAGCAATAAATATCAGCTATTCACTTGACATGATCACATGGTTTTCACCATGGGACATGCTTAAATAAAGCAATCAATAAGCATCAGAAGAGAAACATTCTCACTTGGGGATATCTTATCTTTCTCCTGTGGTTGGAAGGAATCATGGCTGAGGTGAGAGGAAAAATTAATGGTAATCTACTTCTCGGTAGATAGAAAATGAATTGCAATCCAAATGGACTATAATTTATTTTCTATCTACTGAGTAGTAGATTACCATTAATTTGTAAACATTTGGAAATAGCAAATTTTGTCAAAGAAACACCCAAAGGTAGGTTGAAGTATTTGCAGGATTATGGAAAGTGAAATGCAGAAGAAAATATTCTGTTGAAGTCAAATGTGGAGTTGTTCCTAAGGAAGACCATGTTAAGGGAGAAATATGATGAATTGATAAAACATAACTGTCAGTCCTTAGCAAGGACCATCATTCTTTGAAGCTAGTGGTACTACAGAATGACAAAAAAAACTGTACCAAATAACAGAAATCACATCACTTGAGGACTTTCAACAACTGCAACAACTAAAATGGATATCACATGTAACTGAAAGAGAAAAAATAACTATCAAAATGTTAATGTTCTACATTGCTTCAAACAAAAAGTTAGGAAAGAAGCCTTTATCAATACTGGAAAGAATGATACCAGCTAGTGGACTTAGGAAATCTATTTTCCTGAAAAACTCTTTCAAGAGAAAGATTTTTTTTTAAATTTTTATTAAAATTTCAAATGATGGTAGCAGTGAGGCATCTTTTCTGGTAGTGAGTGATAGTCTCAATTGCAACCAACAAATGTGAAGACACTGTTTCTTCAATATTTCCCTTTGAGCATGCTTCTTCTCGGTGGCAAGCCTCTGTTTCTTCATATAATATTATATTGATATAAATCGTATCTCCAGCAGTCTTCCTATATTGATGTCCATCACTCTCATGTCACTTTTGCAGACATCCTTGAAGCAAAGATAAGATCACCCTAATGCTCTCTTGCTAGTGGCCAGTTCGTCATACAGAAGGACCTTCAGACACCTCCTATCAATAGACTAGTGTTATTGCCCATGCAGTATATCCCCCCCTCTCCACCTCATCTAAGGGAAAGGTAGAGTCCAATACTGTTTGTCACTAGTTGAACATAACATCGGACAATGAACTTAATGTACCTTTATATATATATATATATATATATATATCTGTATTATCCTCACTTTAATTCAGTCACTGATAAAATATAAAAATTGCTGTTGACAAAGAAGCTTGTTACATTGTCTAACATGCGTCATCAGGCATCTTTCCTTATGACTGATCATTTCAAAATATCATAGCACAACTAAATTAAAAATTTGTACTTTTAAAATTCTTAAATTGCACTAGAAGGTGCAGAGAAAAATAATGGCAAATTTAATATTAAACAAAAGTTCTTGACATCAAATCTGAGATGAATTGCAATGTGACTTTTCCATTATGTTCAATGCATTTATAGTATAGTTTCATATTTGGTTGCTGTGTATGATCAGGTATTTCCATTATTTAGGAATACATGGATCCTATTTTTTGGTTTGGTTTCTTAGATATGCATATTTTATTACCCAGGGTTTCATCATACTAAATAATGTGTTCTGTATCCATGTATTAATTAATCTCTGATCTCCTTTAGCCATTTACTTCTTATATCAATTCATTTCTAAAATGTCCTCCTTTTTGTCCTGTAAAAGGCAATAAAATAATGATCTGATATTTGAAAGTTATGAGCCATGTTGATAATAACTTTGTTACTTGCATGCCAGTCATCAATGGGAAATGTGAGATGCCTCAGGAAATTGAGCACACTGCATAACACAATTTGAAATCATTCTTGGGCAAATTTCTATTTTCAATTTGCTCTAATTTCAAACTTTGGAGAAAAAATTCTTTATATAAAATAATTCCTGCATAATTAGAAAAATATTTTGTCTTTGACCCTTCCACTGAGAATTTCAGCTAAGAACCATTATTCTATTTCTGTATTCAACCAAGCAAATTCTAAAAGCTATGTTTTATGTGTTAATAATTTAAATAGATTAATGTTAGAATAAGTTCATAAGTTTTTTAAATTTATACTGTTGAGGCCATAAAATCATCTTGAATCATATTTTTTTATTTATTATTTTTTTTTTTTTTTTTCAAAAACCTTACTAATATTTGAAATTATACTATAAAATTTGTATTATTAGGGAACCATTATTAGACTTTTCCTCAATTTTCTCTTGAAATTGTTTCAAAATAAAATATATAAGAAATTATATTGAAATGATTACAAACTAATGTGAAAGTTTCTTTTTTCTTAGATTTTCAAGAGCTTGACAACATGCACAAATTCAAGAAAGATATGCAGAATCTTCTCTCTCTTCAGGTGAGACTCATAAATTGATATCTATAATTTAGAGTTGGAATTAGAAAATTTGGATTGATTTTACAGTCTGAACAGAGAAGCAACTAATACACACACACACACACACACAATAAATTAACTAGTTTAAAATGTTTTTCCGCTACACAGTAATAACCCTGTTTCAAAATGTTTATTTATATATATCTCATTTCATAGATTTATGACACATTTTTGCTGAGCTTAACATAAATTTTATTGTTTAACAATTCCTTCAAGTTGTCCAAATGTTCTCACTACATTAGGTAAACTTGTCTGTTGTGATAAGCCATGTTTAGTAGGTAGTGAGTTTTGAGTGCTATACAGCCCAGCTTTTCAACATGGAAACCTTCATAAAATTGAGAATTTATTATTGAATTTGAAGAGAAACTAAGCTATTTTCAAAGATTCAGCCTCAATGGTTTTTTCCTCATCAGTAGGTTCATTATTGTTTGTTTGGATGTATATTGTTATATTTTCTATTTCTATATGCAGGCATCTTTAGTTTACTGTGATCAGGGGTTGAAATCTAACTCACTGTCTCTTGAGACCAGGACATTTCTTTGTGCTGCTTTTGATTCTATGATGTTATTGTCATTTTTCACTTTTCTCCACATTTTAACACATTCTCTATGCTCCTTGACTTTGTTAATTTTGTTTCCAATTTTATGGAGATATTGTATTCTGAAAGAGTTTCTTTGTTAATTGTTTAATATTTTTTTCTTCCTGTTCTGTTTGTTTCTTTATTGTACTAATTTTTCAACTTAGGATTGTTGTCCCATTGATGTATTCTTGGAATGGTCTCACATACTTCAGCTAATGAAGATAACATTTTTTGATTCCTCTATGTAGTTTTCATCATGATTTATTGACATCAATTTGGACTCTAGTTTATTACAGAATTCTAATATTACCCTCTCATTTTTAAGGGCTTGTTATACCCTGATGTTTATCATGGTTCATGTGAGTGACTAATTCAAGAGTCTGAGATGGTTAAGTCAATAATCTTTTTTGTTACATTATCTGAGCTATGCCATGTGATGATGAGTTTCATATGTTAAGAATAGAATATCTTTCTTAATAACAAAAATTTAACAAGAGTTCCTCATTGATGTTTGAGGCTTCTGTTTCAAAGATTGATATCTTCTTACCATCAAAGGAGTAGTGGCATTCAGAAATACTTGAGATAGCATTAAAATCGTCATTAATGCATAGTTTTCTCATTTTTTAGTTTTTTTTTCCTAATATACAAAGTTTAGTTAATCTTATGTAGAATTACTCTTTTTCTGAAACACATTTTTAATTTGAGTCATTACTTGGATCTTATAGCCATGAACAACAATATCAGCCGCCATCAATCTTTCTGACAGGTGTAAGATATTGTCTATTACAATATTTAGGATTTTTAAAAAAATAGTTCAAACAAATGTTTGAGATAAAATTTATCTGGGCAGATGACACAAACAGTTTAAAAAACAGACAATAAATTTATTGTTAACACAAAAAATGAATGACTTACACAAATTAAGTGCATTGTGTGCCAAATAATGGCCAATAACATATATGTAAATTATCAATAAAAATGAAATATGCCTTTTTACAATTTTAAAATGATAATGTTGCATAAGGTCCTCAGACAAGAAAACTACATAAAGAGTGAAGAAAAAGAGAAAATACTTCTCTTAATAGTTTTCAAAGAATAATTTGGTACAATTTTTGAAGCAAAGTTTGTGGTAATAGCGAAGAATAGATAAAGCACATCAGCCGAAGACTTTTCCTTGATGTGAGAGTGACTTTGTTGTTCCTTTTAATTCTTGTCTGGTGGTTGTCAAATTTCTTCTGTGTTGTTTTTCTTTCTGGACTTGGGTGACCGTGGCTCCTCAGCAGCTGTTCATCAACTCCTTAAATTAAATCCAAGCATCCCCACCCCTTAAATAACCTACAGGTAGGTTCCAAATACACTACTTGGAAATTTGGAGAGAAAACTTTTTATTGGTTTTGGATGAAAAACAAACGCAGCTGTTTTACCACAAATCAAAATGTACCAAAAATATTTTTGAAATTCAAAGATTAAGCAAGAGCTCAATATAGCATCTGGTTTCTCTCTGAAAGATCTGATGAATTGCATATTGCAATTCCAACTCCGTTTCCTTGTGCCTAGTCAAAAACGCATTATATCCCAAATGCGCAATGAAGTCACTACCTGGTCCATAGCACCTCTTGCATACAGACAACATTAAGGTTTGCTTTTTTCTAAAAGGATGTGCCCTCTGAAACCATCTGATCCTAACTGAATGTTGATTTATCCTATTTTTCACTTGAAGAACTTTTCAAATTTTGATTTTGTAGTAAAGTTTTTTTGTTTATTTTTTAGTTGTTGATAGGTAGCTGACTAGACTTCTCAAAAACAAATTCTCAAAATTTCTGTTGTACTATGTAAAAGATAATTTGGAAAATTTTTACTTTGTTTTGTCAATTATCCAATGTAATTAGAAAAAATTTTACAAGAATAAAATCTACATTAACATGACAAAATATGGTGGTTGAATGCTTTTTTACTTTAACAGTGTCAGAAAAATTGAATTTTAATTAGTTCCAACTTAGTTTTTATTTTCATTTATCATTTTTTTCTTTTCTTTTTAGTTGTTTTCCATAATTTTTATTTATCTTTCATGTTCCCTTTGTAGGAGCATTCAGCCCTTCCCACCTTAAAATTTCTGGCAATCTCATCAACAAGCTTCAAAATATATGAAAAATGAAGTCATGTCTTGTTTAAATATTAAATCTTTATATACTAACATGCATGATTGTTTAAATTTGTTAAGGCACTGCTTCATAAAAGCAAAAATACCTTCTCTTTCTACTAATGAACACTTATAAATATTTGTCAGCCTTGTACAAACTAATGTTTTTCACATTCAATTAGTTTTTACAAAAATTTGACCTACCCATGTGTTCTCTAATCAATCTTAGTCTTTCTTTTCATAATTCTTAGAATCTGGCTTATTTGAAAATATATTTCCTCAAAATACTAAATACTTTCTCTATGTAGATGACACTTTACTAATAATATCCATATGAAAGTAAATGATTAAATATCATGAATGAAATGAAAATTGAACCTACAATAACACTTTACCTTTCCTTTTCTTCATATTCTGTTCATTTGAACCGATGCTGATTTAAAATTAAACGTCTATTGGCAGTCAACAAATGAAAACAACCTTATAAAATTTAATTTTTTCAACAATGAGATAAAGTCTGGAAGAATTATAGGTTTTTATTTAAGATAACTAAGGTTTGCTGCTCTGAATATTTAACAGATGAAGAAAAATACATTGAGAATTTAAAATCCAAAATCCTGTTATTCATTTCATTTAATGCCAAAAAACAAAAAACATTCAAAATCTACAATACCCAAAAAGTATAAATGATAGCCCTCAAACTAGACACATTATATTATCTACAAATTCTATAACTAATGAACTCGAAAGAAATTTAGCTAAAAACAAATTGACAATTACTTCAAAAACAGTCAAAAACTTATGCAAAATAGATTTCATTTTATGTCAGAAGCAGTTTACCAAATGAAATGTAAACAAAGCTCCCTAAAATACATTATTGAAATATCCTAAAGAAAAGAATATCTGAACATAAATGTAACTTAGAATTAAACAACATATGCATTCGTTTTTTTTTTTTTTGTTTTTTGTTTTTGTTTTTTTGTTTTTGTTTTGTTTTTTGTTTTTTAAATAAAATTAATGCATTTATACATTTTCGGCTTTATTTTATGATTTTCAGATTGAATTTGAAAAGTATCCTCCCTTTGAAAAATACAAGCAACCAAAATTCAAAGAAGCAATGTTCTGGGACTATGTCAATTCTCTTACTACAGGTTCTAATGAAATGGTAAATTTGGTAAATAAAGATGTTTATCTGATGTAAAGTAATGTTTATGATTGCAGAAATAATTTCACAAATGTTGTTAATGTTTCATTTTCACTGATTTGCATTTTTTCTATGATGCAATTCTGCTTCTTAGTTCAGTGCCTTGCCCTAGCATAAAAAATAAGTTGTCGTCTATATTAACACTACAAAAATTAGGATAAAAACAATACCTTCAGTAAATATTTACACCTCATTTCACAATTGTATTCTTGTATTATTTGGTTGTTTTATTTCTTATGAAATCCTGAGATTTTCAAAGCTAATGCCTGGTTATCAATCAGAATTTGAACCTCTCTAAATAATAAAATGATGGAATTTGTATTTTTTTTATTTATCAATTGTAACTCCTATAATATTAGATTCTGAATCCTATGCATTTCTAAAAGTTTTCTTTTCACATCCAGGTGAAGCAGCATTACCGCAAGATATACAGGTGAGTAACTAAATTATCTTTTAGTTATGGCACAACACACTCACATTCTCTATTAAAACACTTATAAAAAATTTCATTCAAGTTTACTCTTGTGATGATAAAATCATAATTGTTAATGTTATGATATTCTATGTACACTGACCCAAAGTCGCCCATGAGCTATAGTTATAGCTCCCTTTATGCTAATTACCTATTAGCTAAACCAATCCCATTACATCTCCCTGAATCTTTTGGGTTTCATGTCCTGCGTTAATCTATGGCTTCTCCTACATTACCTCCCCCTATCACTGGTTTCACGAGTATTTCTTGTTACAGGGGACCTTGATCTAGTTCTTTTAGTCTCAGTGTCCCATATTTCATCTTCTAAGTCTTCTAAAAAAAAACTTTGATTCCTCTGCCTGGCTTTCTTGTTCATCTACATAGTCATTTGAACTAGCTTTGCTTTCTACTTCCTCATAATTTTGGCTAGATCTTTAATTGGTCTGCATGGGCAACAAATTGCATATTAAATCCATGTTGTATCCTTTTTGCATTATGAAATTTGCCTTTTCCAGCTTGTTTTCTTTTATTTCTATTGTACCATATGTTTTCATTAATAGAGTAAGACATAGTTAATGGAGCTCTGTCTGCCTATTAATGTAGATGGGCTCTCTAATTTGTCAGCTTGTGGTATTGTACTGTAACTCAACAATAATCTTGATAGGAAAGTTTCAATCTTTTCTTGCTGAGAACAAAATGCTTTCAATCCCATCTTTATTGTTTGAACTATTCGTTCATCCTAAAGTTTTTTTTTTTTTTTTTTTTCATTTTGTTCCTTTTCAAATTGTAGTCGGGGCAACGTGTCTGTGTGGTATTATGTTTCCCTTCACACATTCTATATCATAATCAAAAGGCATTAATTTCATAGCCCATCTTAATATTCTGGATGATGTAACTTTTGGCAATTCCTTCCTAGGATGGAATATAAATTCTAAGGGCTTATGATCAGATCTCAACAAAATTTTTTCTTACTAAAAATTGCTCTGGTCATACTCCAGAGAATTGCAAGTGCTTCCTTTTCAATATTAGAGTAGTTCAATTCAGCTGGTAGTCAATGTCCTGGAAAGATAAATCACCAAATGTCCTTCCTGGGACAAAATTGCCAATACAGACTGGCCACTCACATCTGTGGTTAATCCTTTTTATGGTCAAAAATCTTGACTATATGTTTTTTAGTTAGAGCTTCTTTTAATTTAATGAAGGTGCTTTGGTGTGTACTAATCCATTCAAACTCCTTATTCTTCTTTTGCAAATCAGAAAATTCTTTAATTCTTTCAGAATATTTTGACAAGGATTTGCTATAAAAATTGACTAATCTGAAAAATGACTCCAATTCATTTTTATTAGTTGAAGATACACTTAATATTTTTTGTATTAATGCTGGGTCCAGTAAAGTACCATTTTCTGAAAATTGGTAACCCAAGAATGTCAATTTTTTGCAATTAAATATACACTTATCTTCATTTATCATTATTCCTGCCCTCCTCAACTTATCCATTACAAATTTATTTATTTTTTATTTTTTATTTTTTATTTATTCAGTGGCTGCACCTAAACATATATTGTCCTGATAATTTATCATATTTCCTACTCTCTCCAACATATTTTCCATAGCTTTTATAAAAAATTGAGCTGGCTGTCTTAATTCCAAATGTTAGCCAGGACCATCTAATTAAGTATATGAGGGATTTTATTGTTGTGATTTCCTTAAATTTGAACGTCCTTTTGAATTTTTAAATAAAATTTCATAAAATATTTAATTCCTACCAGAGAATATAATTTTTTCTATGTTTGGAATAGGGTAGGAATCTGAACAGATCTCATGATTTACACCTACTTTGTATCTCCACAAATTCTAAAATTACCATTAGGTTTTCTTAAAACCACAATAGGCAGTACCCATTTACTGCCTCCAGGTTATACATACTGAAGAATGCCTTCTTCCACCATTTTTCATAGCTTATCAACTACCTTTACTTTATATGAATGGGAAGTATATGAGTCTGTCTATATTTCTGAGATGAGGTATTATGTACATTATTCTTTATTGTCCTCATCTTTTGTCGCCATATTTATCACAACGTTTTCAATATCCAATGCTTTGGGCCTTCTTCAGGTGATTGGAATGTCGAACTGAACCCTTTATTTAAGCTCACCGGGGTAGACTGTTCTAGTTCCACGTGCCATGTTTGATGGATGTCAGTTATCAATTATCTCCTGTTAATTTCCCTCTGAAATAAAGGGTTCAGTTCGACATTCCAACCACCTGAAGAAGGCCGGAGCATACAACGGCTGAAACGTTGTGATAAATATGGCGACAAAGATGAGGGAAGTATATGGTTTTCAAAATTCAATGGATTGATATTTCTTTTTAACTTAAGGCTCACTTTTATAGTTTTTTAATGTCCCAGTTTTGAGACTTCCCATATTCATAGCATTTAGTAAACATGTGATATTAATATTTATCAAATCCGTTCCTACTAAACAATGACTTTTTATACAATCCACAACCATAATAGTGATTGTTTAAAATCTTTTTTGTTTCAAAAAGTGTTTTGAAAGGACCCTAATATTTTTATACACATTCCATCAAACTGTCTTAATCTTACTAAGCTTTTTTTTAATTTTGGTTTTGATAATTGTTCCCAAAAATTCTTTGGAATAAGGGTCACACTTCACTTCCAGTTTCAATTTGCATTTTTAAGTCTACACCATTAATTTAATATTTGGGAAGGTGTTATTTTTGGTTCTCCTCTTTATTGAAAAAACGTTTGTTTGACTTTTTTATATCGTGTATTATTTCAACAGTTTTTGGTTTATCTGTAACTGCTCTAAAATTTTTACTCTCTGAGAAGTGTTGTACAGTCCTTCTACCAATCAGAATTGAATTAATTCTTCCTTTGTGCTTATTCTTTGTTGTCTTAGTTCATGAAATTCACAATATCTTCTGGTATTTCTTAGCCTTCTTAGATATTTCCTTATAGGCTCCTCAAATTCTTGTTTCAATGCTAAGAATTTGGTTCATTTTGCTATGACCAATCTTTTCTTTGGTTGAATATTTCTCAATATTTTTTTGACTTCTTTAAATGTCAAGTTTTCAATTTCCGCCAGGTTTCTGCCAAGTTTTCAATTTCTGCAACAAAATCTACCTAATGACTTTGCATCCTGCAGTGGCCAAAAATAAATTTGTGATTTCTTATTTATCAGATGTTTGGTCATTTCCATAACCACCTTTATTCTGGCACATGCCTCGGAGCATTTTATCCAAATTTTTACATTTTCATATTCTTCTGTGTTCAACAGGAGCTCTGTCAGGTGTTTTATTATGCTGATCAAACTTAGTAGCCATAGTTATCCTATGTACGCCGACTCAAAGTTGCGTATGTGCGACAGTTATAGCTCTCTTTATGCTAATTACCTATTAGCTAAACCAATCTGATTACAGTTAATAATAGCAATAATATATTATGCATATTTCACCTGCAGAATAATTTAATACATTTTAGTTTCTGGAGTCAATAAGTCTTATGATTAGACATTTTAAAAAAATCTTAGACTGAACTGATTGTCTGCAGCAAACATTCATATTCATTGTATCATACCAGTAACAAAATATGCTACTGTGTCATATTTTTGTTTATTAGTGTAAAAAGTCAACAATTTCTTGATGTCCTTCAAGGGCCTGAATTATGGATAACAGTGAATTGATTTGCAATGTTTTTTTTCTTTTTTATACTCTCTCTCTCTAGACTAGCTGATCTACTGCAGATTCCATGTATGCAATTGTTATCAAAAATGGTCATCAGCGCTTCTAAGACTGGTAACAATGAAATGGTGATTGAGATTTGCAAGTGAGTTTATTATTATTATTATTATCATTATTCATGTGTCTTGCTCTATATTATCAGCGTGCACCGTTTTTTTAACTTTACTTTTAGAGCAAAGATAAAACATAAGAAACAAAATCATTTTTTTTTTTTTATAAATGTTCTGTAGCATTAATTCTGTGTGCGCGTGTCTCTTATATATATATATATATATATATAATTATTATTGGGGATACTTATTTGAAATAGATGTCCTATTTTTATTTATTAAGCAGTGTCTATCAGCCTTCAGAAATCTAAATAAAGAAAATGTATTCTTGAGCTTGGAGAAGATAATTCTATTTATAATTTATCTAAGTAAACTTAGATAAATGTAATATACTCTGTTTAATAAATAAAAATGGGATATTATAGATGAATGTTCAGTATAATAGCATTTGAAGTAATAAGTGTTGCATTGAAAATAAATCCATTAATTCCTATGTATTTTTGTGTATTTAGGCACCAAATTCTTTTTTAGGCATGTCTGATTAAATAAATTACAAACATCTGTTCATATTCACAGATATTTTCCATCTGTTACAATCAAATGATGCAAGAAATTCACTGTAACAGTGAAAATCACTTTTATTTCCCAAGTATTTTCTATTTTCACTGTTACAGTGCATTTTTTGCATCATTTGATTGTAACACACAGAAAAATATCCATGAATATGAACGGATTATGCTAAAAATAAGCAGACATAATGTTTGTAATTTATTTAATCACATATATGTATGTGTGTAAAATAATTTTGTTTAGTTTAAGTACCAGACTATTAGTTGCTAAAATCTTTTTTTCTTTCATTTTTTGTTTTCCTTTTTTCTTTTTCTTTTTTTTTTCAATATTAATGTAAAAAAAAAAAAATAATCATCTATTTAGATTTCAACTGACGGCTATTCACATTACTGCCATATTCAATCATTTCTTTGCTGCCAGCTATGTTTGTAGGCTGTTATTTAATTAGAAAATAACCCAAATTTCACTATTAACTCTGTCTTAAAGATATTGACAAGAATTTCCAAACTTAACCTCATTAGGGAATAATCTTAAAACAAAATAATGTAAATGTCAAGGTGTTTCATGGATTTATTTGCCTTGATAAATTCCACTAGAGAATGAAAAGTATTGATAAAGTTTTCCTTTTGTCACCATTCACATTGTCTTTTTTACAGATATGTTTTTTATTTATATTTGAATTTTTAATACAAAGAACAAAATGTAGTTAAAAATTGTTAATTGTTGGGTGAGCAGTAAATGTTTTCCCTCATTAGGAAAGAAGAAAACTTCTTAGTATTTCTGCTGTGTCCCTTTCATTCATACCCATGTATCCTCTATGATGATGTTCAGTGCCTGTGTAACACTCACTAATAATGGGTGTGCAGGTAGTGTAACGGTCATTGATGTAGAATCACTGAGAGCAGAGTTCAAATTCTGTCCCAGTCTGCTGTGTTTACTGTTGCACTGATATCTTTGGGGAAGGCATGAATTCATCTTTTGACTCCAAGTTATGAGTTAAATGGCAGGGGAAACTAGACTCTCTAGCCTTGGGTGACGACAATGTGTCTCTGAGAAGGAAAACTTGGTCTTCCAAAATGTGAGGAAGGTAACAGGAAACCATTGCACTTTCTCAGGTAATTCATGGATACTAAAGAAAAAGGAATCTGGAGAGTCATGATTGCTTACCTCCTGAAGAGATATGACATTTTAAATATATTTTTTAGAGAAATCTATGACAAAGAAGAAGAAAAAAAGAAGCTAACTATGTAAGCAAATATAAGTCTTCTAGAATTTAGTTAAGATTTATATACAACTTTTGAGAATATTTTATAACATTTTTAAATTAAGAAATTTTCAAAACTTAATGCTATTTTTCTGCCACTTTGCACTTTTGTTTATAAATACATGTTGCAAAAAAAATTCCTTACATTTATTCTGATAAAGTCCTTCAGGTAACAGTTTTCCTTTTTGTCTTCATTAACTTGCACACACACTTAAATGTTACTAAGTGTATACTTCAAAAAGTTGCACTAACCAATCAAGTCATCAACACTCTTAAGTGAATTGCTCTTGTAACTGCTTTTTTTATATATATATATATATAGGCAATTAGGGTCATGATGATATTTGACCTCTGAGATTGATCAGAAAATCAGTTCACTAAATGACCAGCAACACCACCTGATTTGCATTCATTGCAGTGTTTTGTAATTAAAATAATTTTATGTGTTTCATTATTTTATGATGTTATATTTACATTACAGTAATTTGCTTGAATGTGAGCCAAATGCTGAGACTGCTGAGGTCCTCTATGATGTTTGCCTGCATTTGCTGACGTTATTGGCTGAGGATGATACTTCTGCTGATATTGATGATGAAAAAGAAAATGCTCTTGAAGATGTTAGATCTAATTTACCTGCTCTCATACACAACATTATTAGCCTTGCCCTCACGGCCTGTAATCCAAGTAAGTAGGATGATTGAGATATATATATATATATATATATATATATATATGCTTGCATGTCTTCTGTAGAAATTGTAGCATTAATAATTACTTTTTTATGAATGTTAAAATGGTTATTTATTGCCTCCTAACATAAAACTATATTCTCTCTACTCTTTTCTTTCTTTCCTTCCTTCTCTCTCTCCCAATTGGAACAAGTACTATTAGTTGGCTTTTTAAGATGACGTGTGTGGTTGATTTCATCAAATCTTATTACCTTTGCAGTATCCGTGCAAATCTTTTTCTTAGCATAAAAAACATGCAACATACCTTCATACTAAATGAGCCATTTAACTCTGTATTCCAGAATATCTTATTTCTAATCTATATGTATATTCCTTTTCTTACAATATATATGTATTATACAACTTTTACTTGCCAACAGGTTTCTTACCAAAATTTATTCAACTTGGTAAATGCACTTGGTTAGCTGCTTCTGCCAGTCAACACACCAGTGTAGCTGAAAATACTGTTGTTTCACAGGTGAGATAATGATTCAAGATTCTTGAAATTTTACTGTTAAAACTATCCAAAAGTTTAGGGATCATTTTATATGATATTATGAACACTTGTTTCTTTTATCATTTTTATCATTATCAAGGGCTTGGCTGTAGGTGGACGTACAGATCAAAATTTAACCAAAATCTGGAGCCTGACCACTCAATTCAAGGAGGAGGCTTTTATCATGGAAGCATCAACTATAATTCCTTTATCTGCTCAGACTACTTTGGCTAATCCATTACTTCAAGAAATCCCTGGTAAATGCATTTGCCTCATTTATATGAGTTTTAAGATTAAAAGTTCATATTTTTTGAGTAATACTACTAATCCACAATTTTTAAGCAAGCAATTTGTTAGAAATATTCAATAATCAGCTACTTGACAATGACACCTATGATGATGAGCAAGCAAGCAATTATTTATCATTTAGAAAAGTAGAGAAAATGTACTTGCATAAGTCAATCGGAAAGTGATTTGAACTTTTGCAAAGATATTCATTAACAAATCAAAATGTTACTTAAGAAAAATTAATATTGACTCAGAAATAATTATTTTGATATTTGAAGGTTTTACTCCATAGTTTTTATCATCTTTTTCCCATTAATAATAAGTTTTTGAAAATCTATTTAACACTATAAGTCCATGTTCTCTTTTCATTGCATTTCAGAAAGTAACAAATATATTTATTAAGGACTTTCTGCAAACTTTTAATTTGACAACATTAAAATGAAATAGGAAAAACATCTTTTGAGATGTGGGATCTAGTTGAATTTTAAAATCACCATGATTCCTTAAAATATCTCTGTACTCTTGACAATAAAAAACTGTCTCATTAAATATTTCTTGCTTTGTAGTTCATTAAAGGAGGAGTCTTTTATCATAGAATCATCATAATAATTTTTAATAGATATTTTATCTTTTTTTTTTTTTTTTTTGCAGGAGTGGGGAGGGGCTAAAAACTTTCCAAAGTAAACTGTTTTTGTTTTACAGTATTTTTCTTTTAGTTTGAGACATTTTATACATTTCCAGATCAAGTTTTGAATAACAACTTTAACTGATTTTATCTTTATAGAAATAAAGATATTTATTAACAGGTATTTTGGAGAGATTTCATGAAATTAAATAAGGTGGGTGGACAAATAATTTAAAAAAATATATTTCTCCAAACTTTTCTCAGAAAAGTACTATTTTCAAATATAATTTTATCATTAGTGAATAAGAAAATTTGAAAGTTTAATTCAAATCTGATACTTAGTTAAATTTTGGTAGATTTTTAAAATAAAGTTCTAGTTCACTTTTGTTGTGGGTGCACAGATTGAATGAACATAAATTGTTAGTATAAACTCATGCATCCATAAATTTACAACTGGCCATTTTTCTTAAACCTGGTACTGTGAAAAGTTGTTTTTCAATAGACTTCAAATGGTGTACCTTGAAACATCAAATAAAAGAAAGGAAATAAGTGAATCTACTTACTTCAATGTTTTTATAATAAAATTACTCATGACAATCCAACATAAATGGAAAACTATGAAAGTTTGAATAAAGTAGGATATTCAGAATCAAGATTATTTTGAAAATCAATGAAACTGTTCAAAGCCAGTCATGTAATTATCAGAGTCCCATCCAAACAGAGACATAAGTGATATGGTTGCAAGGACTTTTAATTGGTATTGCCTTGCTTTCAAACCATAAATGGCAAACAATTTATTTTAGAGAAAAACACTTTTATCAAATTAGAAAAGACTAGAAAGTTTAGTTATGAGATTTCAGCTAAAGCAAAATTCTGGTAATAGTTTCAAAAATTGGCTTTTTGGAGAATTAGAATTCTATTTTAAATGGCTGTTCCTTTAGTAGTTAATACTGAAACATTTCCATTATTCAATAATGGTGTTGAATAGTTTCATATTCATTCAGCAAGATTTATATTGACATTGATTTACTTCACTATCTCTAGTTTCTTTTTCTCTCATCTACATAGAATATTTGTTTCTTTGATAATTATTTCTATGTATCCCTCTTTTTTCATGAAAATACTATTGACAGATTTAGTATTCTTTGAATCCAATGATATTCAAAGCATAAATACTTAATATTTTTATATAATAAACTTTGAATCAACTTTTTCTTAGCTAATTGTTTTAATGTGGTAACTACTTTATGGTATAAAGGTAGTTATTTCAAAAACATATGTAATAATGATTTAGTCCTTTTCTTGTGAGACTTAATGGATTAACTCTGTGTCTATCTGAAATGTTTGTAATGGTCATGAAGCATGTTTTTCATAATACTCTTATTTTTGCAGTGACCCAAAAGCCAGCAGATATTACAGTGTGTGAAGAAACTGATAAAATTCTCTCCAAGAATTCAGAAGATATTGTGAAGACAAAAAAACAGTGTGTACAGATTGTGGATTGTTATGTAGGACAGATTCCCAAACTGCTGGACTTTTTACAAAGGAACCAGAATATTGAATTGGCCTACCAGTATCTTATGCACACCTATTTTACTGTGCTTGAGTACTGTGACTACTGCACAACAAACATTCAAGTGACTAACAGGGTGAATGTGTGTTTTTTTTTTTTTTGTTTTTTTTTCATTCATTGTGGTTGAAAAGTTTGATAAAAAATGTGATTTAAAAAAAAAAAGCATTGATTAAAAATGGTAATGATAGGAATAATGAAAAGTGTATTAACTGAGAGTATTGTGATAAAAAGCAAGAATGACTTGATGAAATAATATTAAAATGTAATAAAATCATAATGGGGTAATCTGTTGTAATTGTAAGATTGCATTTATATATTAATGGACACAAATGTTTTATTTTTGTCTAGGATATGAGTCTTGTAAAAGAGATTCTGGAAGTGCTTTCTCAGCTGAATCCTCAAAGAACTAGCCATCAGTTGGTTATAAATCTCCTACACAAGGTAATTCTATTTGCATTTTAACATTTGTTCATAAAATTAATCTTGGACATATTTTTGTTAAATATTAAAAAGAATTCTATTTTGAAGTGAATGCCTAATTAGTAAGCTAATATTACAAGTTATTGCTGGTGACTTTGATCTGCACTGAGTGGCCTACTTTTGTGGCTACATCAAAGTTGGAAGTCTGTGATTCTAGATGACTTTGAAACATAGCAGTTTTGTGGCCAAAGGGTTATTTGGCTGTAAAATTTGCAAATTCTAAATCTAATTCAAATTAGCAAGTGAATGAAAGCTGTCTACAATGTGTGAAAGTCCTCAATCAATGGAGAAAAAGCAGCAACACTAACAAGAGTAAAGAAATTTCCTTGCTAAGTCTCCAGTATTTTAGTACTTATTACCATCTCTTTGCCCTCATGAGGGATATTTTTTCCCTTTCAGGTGCAAAAGGCTTTTAAGCAATTTGTAAGAACTAAAATTTCCCCTATTGGCAATGATGGTGTCACTGTGTGGTATCATAAGGCATCTTCTCATTAAGGAATTCAAAAACTTGGCAGGTCTGTTTAGACTTGATAAATGAAAAGAAATCAAACTGAAACAAAAATACTCTTGAGTCAAAAGATGGGATTAAAGTAGCAATGACGATAAAGTATTGATGTGTTTCTTTCAAAGTAACAAAAAAAATGATGGATTTTTAATCATAATAAACTCAAAGGCTAACCTAACTGAATTGCTGTGCTTCCTATCAATTGTCTTTTTTACTACAATAAATGTAGAAAGCTCCCTACAACTTTTTTTTTTTGTTCACTTACATTTTGGTCTTTTATTTCATGCCTCTCTTCTTTGAGCTAACTCGTTGTAGTCTTTTTTTTAAGTCCCCATAATCTGGTCTGACACAAGTTAGCTAAGTAACTGTGAAATCCGTCTTCAGATATAAGATTACATTTCTTATTTATGTATTTTGTTAGACAGTTGGAAGAATTGATATAATTTGGAGATTTGAGAATTCTGCTAAAACATTTGTGACATGACTGATTTGAATAATGAAAACATAGGAAGTGAATAAAAACAACTAAAAAATAGCAAAGTTTAACTTATGTGCCTGCAATAAAACTGTGTTCCTAAAGGACTGTTTTTCCTTGACAATCTTCCCTCAGCAATGTTGTTTTAAAAAGCGATGATTAGAATTTTAATAAAACCCAAACATTATGTATAAATTTTCTTGAAAATTGACAAACAATATTAAACACTTTTTATTAGATTATTTACAAGAATAATTTTAGATTTATATTCTAAAAATGTTTATCATTTATCAATATTTTTTTTATTAAAAAATGTCTGAATAAGAAAATTTAAATAAACACAAGTATCAATAACTAATTTCCTTTTCATATTTATTTCATAAAACAGTGATGTATGGATTATCTCCCCTTACATGTCTTCTGTATTTAAGTCCAATAAAGTTAAGTTACAGCTGTGTTCTTTTTCTCACTACAAACAGTATATATAATAAATGTTGCATTGTACTTTGTTCACATATTATAATCTTGTAAATAAACATTGACGAGGGAGTGAAGGTAATATAAAATAATAGTGGTTTCAAGGGAAAAGCCATCCTTTTAAGATTTTTGCAGGTATGAAGATTAGACATTGCCAAAAATTTTTCCTACTGTCAAGATTATGACTTGCAACTATTTCATATACTCACTACAGGAAAAATATTGAATGTACCGTGTGCGATTAATAAATTGTCGCCATTTTATATTTTTGATTTCACGCATACATGTTTGTTTTTGATTTTGTTGACAGTACAGGTAGGTAGGGTCAGATGGGCACCGTCTGTGAGAATAAGAGCAGTACAATGCAATTCACTCTGCCAGAAATTTGGAAACAGCATGCTGTACTGCTTAGCATTCATACTGGAGGCTCCAATACAAACATTTCAGAGGGTTTGGATGTCAATCTGAGGACAGTGCAGAGGATTCGGAAAGAGTTGGATGAGTATGATGGTGATTACGAAGGTATGGCAGCTCAGAAAACACATTCTGATCATCTTGATGAGAAAAGAACTCCCAAATTTGTTCAGGTACAATACATCAGCACACATCAAGTGTTTTGAGGAAGTAGTGTTGCCCTGGGTCAAGATGGGTCATGTGACTAGCTGACTAACCATGGAGACATTAACAGCTGGTGGTTGTTGGTAGATTCTATGTTTGGCAACAGGACTCTGCACCATTCCGCACAAGCAGGAGAACCTATTCATGGCTGTCAGACAATTTCTGTGACCACATCACCCCTTGCATCTGGCCACCTAACTCCCCAGACTACAACCTCTTTGATTATTATGTGTGGGGGTGCAGTTGAGTGAGAGACCAACAAAACACCTTGTAACACCAAAGATGGACTGAAGGCAAGGATTATGGCAGCATTCATTAATTTAAACAAGACCATCCTGAAGAGTTGCAGAAAATTCTATTACTCTTTAATATTTCAAGATATTTTTGTGTAATTTTGGTAAATATATTTGTTAAAATGAGATGTCAGTATTATTTTCATTTTTTGCATAATTTAGACAATTTATCCATCCCACCCTGTAGATCAAGAGTTTGAAAAAAGAAAGTGATGGGCAATTAACAATAACTGAAATAGGAATCTCCTCTTTCTCCATTTTAGTATAATGTTGTTTTGTATAGAGAAAAGTTGGCACAATTGAGTCTTCCTTCTCGTTTTGTTATAGTAATATTAGCCATTTCCGCAAAAAGGAAACATTCAGCATTCATTGATTGAGCAGTGAATGCTTTTGTCTTAAAACAGGAAAATAGGTTTTTCAAATCCACTGATATCGCTCTTCCCAGCATGGATGGGGGCTGTGACGGTTACACACCTGGCCCAGTGTCGGATCCTTTGGTTACGGCGCCAACGGTGACGTCGCTCCTCCTGGGTCCAAGCGTGCCGCTCCAACCCTTTGGTCAGATGATCACCAGCCTCGCCTTTCCCGACTCGCTTCCAATACCTGGTCACTAAAGCAACTATACCGATCTCCGGTCTGTCTACCCACGCTGTGTTTAGATCTTAGACAGACGGGACCAGCAGGATGGGGCCGATACAAGTTGAGTCCGACGGGGTGGCAAAACACAAATAAAATAAAAACTCACGACACCAAACAAAATTGCTGATAAAAAGGGTAACAACCTTTTATATCTTAAAGTCCGTTACATAAAAAACAAAAGTGTTCTCATTTCCCGACCCGCTCTGTGGACTATGGCACCAAGCTTCTATCACACAATAGAAAAATGTCGAATTACCTACTTTTAGAATCATGTATGTATGTCGGAGTGTGGTTCAGTTCGACACTGGGGCTAATTTCTATCGATCATTCGCAGTTGATTCTTCTCTCCGACTTGAGTTGTATTTCTTCTTCTTCGTCTGCTTGGGCTGGTAGTTTTCCTGTTTCAACTTGGTGGAAGATTTCTTGTTTCAACTTAGCCGCAACTCTCTGTCGCCTGAGGTGGTCTCTTCTTGCCTCGGAGCTGAACTTTAACTTCTCATCGACTTTCGGCTTGTCTGCAGCTCAATTCTTCTCAGGCTTTCAGGCAATCTTCTTCTTCTCTACTTGGGCTGGAAGTTCTTCTTGTCTGAGGGTTCTTTTTTCGCTTGGAAGGATGCAACTCTTTCTCTGTCGATTGAGGCTTTCTGCATCTCAATTCTTCTCAGGCTTTCAGGCAATCTTGAATACTTGGGCTGGAAGTTCTCCTGTCTTCGACTTGGGCTGGAAGGATTTCTTGTCTGAGGATTCTTCTGCCCGCAAAGGGGGGCGAGTGAATCGGGCCTGATGCCCGCGTTCAGGCTCTATCCTGCCCGCGGTCCAACTCTCAACTCCAACTGCAACTCCAACTGATTTCTGTCGACTGGGGTCCTGCTTTTATTGACGCCGCAACAAACTGGGGTGGGTCTGTCGGCGTCAGGGTTTTCTCGATAATTCCAAAACTGCATTAATTCTGTCTTCTCCATTATCGCTATTGTTTCCCCCTACTTCCTCGCAGTACCTTTGGTGGGGAGGCGCACATCCATCTCTCTTAGTCTCTCGTATGTCAGGTGACCGCTTTTCAACCAATCGTTCCTGATCGAGCATTTTCTTTCCCTTTTCTTCTGCAGGTCACGTGACCGTATTCGACCAATTGTTATTGGTCGAACATTTCTTTCCTTTTCTTCCATGAGGTCACGTGATCGTATTCGACCAATTGTTATTGATCGAACATCCTCTCCCCCTCTGTTTGCGGGCGTGGTTACATCGTTCTTGTTTAAAAAAAACAAAATCCAATTTTGCCCTTTTTTGCACGTACGAAAAATGACAATCTTTGGCTTTCTCTCACCTGGACTTTGTCAAACAGCCCGCTGCTAATTAGTCTTGACTTTAGAAAGGATCTTTTTCCGCCTTCTTGGCGCCCTCTGTGAGCCAAAAGCAATTGTCCCTCTTTTTACCTCTTTGTTTTTCCTGATAGTCGAAAATCTTAATTATCTACATTGAAAATGTCTCTACTTTATTAACGTGGGTGTCCAATTCTTAACAGGTCAGAGATCTGTATATCGTTCCACTGGTCACTCCCCTCAACCCAAAGACACTTTTTCTCTGATTAAGAAAAATTTTTCATTGTTAAAAAAATTTTCTTTTATCCAATGAGTCTTTCACGCAAAAGTAGGCCAGATGCTTTGACCGATATCATTCTTATCAAAATGACGTTTTGAAAATCGGCCAAGACGCTGATTATTTAAATTCTTTCTTCCAATTATCTCCACCCTCAATTGGGTCATCGATATACTTTTTCTCTTTCTTTCTTTTCTTCCCTTCCTTTTTTTTTCCTTTCTTTTCCTTCTTCTTTTCCTTAGGATCGTCTAGTACACTCTTAGTGAATTATTTTCAACTCAGTTATTTTCCGTTTAAAAAAAAAAAATTAACAACCTGTTTAATAAACTGAGTAAGAAAAAATTAAATCATATTTCTAGGAATATTTCTAATAATGCAAGGTGCCACAGGGCTTCCTTTCCTTTTGCCTGAAATAGTGTGGAATATTAACATTTTGATTATATTATTTTCTCTTTAAGCTACATGTGATATCCTTTTTAGCTGTTGCAGTTTAAAATCTTCAATTAATATGATTTCTGTTATTTGGTACAGTTTTTTGTTTGTGATTCTGTAATGTTGATTCACTATTTTCAAATAAGGATGGTCCTTGCTAAGATCTACTGGCATCATTTATTCAAAACTGTGTGAGTGTATGTAAAAACAATGCTTGAAGTTTTTGTTTGCATCAATAGGGAATTAACTTTAAACATTTCAACAAGAGCAAATACTTTTTCAAATGCATTTTATTTGCTAGATTTGACATAAGACTACATAGAATTGAACTTACTGCATTAAGGCAAACTTAGTCACTACAGTACTATGATCTGTAACAAGGTGAACATTTTTTGGATAAAAACAACTTTATTAAAAGAAATTTATAAATGTTTAAACATAGATTGCAGTTTATATTTATTTTATATTTATTTTGGCTGCAGATTTTTAACCAACACAGAATCGATCATCTGTATGCACTGGCTTTTTTCTGGGGTCTTCCTAAAAAAATGCTGCATGAAATTCTCAAGAAAATGACAAACCAAGCTGGACAAAACTACCGCAAACTTATGGTATATCATTTTCACTTGCCTTCTTGCCTTTTTGCTAACAGCTTTCATATTTATAGGAAGCTGTCTGAAAATATGAACGATGATTTTTGTTTACTTTTTTGTCTGCAGGCACTTGCAAAAGTAGGAAATGCACTTGGAAAACTCCATAAAGAACCTGATGTTGCCTCTCGTTGTCAACTGATGGAGACAAGTGCTTCTTGGGGACATCACCTTGGCAAATTCAAGGTAAGTAATACTCCTTATGTTCTTTATTTTCTCTACTCATTTCACAAAATTGTACTTTCATCACTTAACTAATCTGTGTAGGCAGATTATGTTAAATTGGTAATTATTTTTATTAACAACTACCAATCTCCTATCAATAAATGAGGAAACTAGGTCACCTCCTCTACTCTCCTCACCAGCTGTTAATGTCTCCATGGTTAGTCAGCTAGTCACATGACTCATTACTACTGTAGTGAATTTAATCCTCAGTAGGTGCTCCATATTAGAAAAAAACTAAACTTAGTAACTATTTATTTGACACCACTCTGCGGTAGTGATTAGCAAGTTAATCATGTGACCCATTACTACTGTAGTGAATTAAATCCATATTGGGTGCCTAACATGTGACGTTGTGCCAAACATAATAAAACAGGTTTGAGGCTAAACTATTAATTTTACAATAAACACATGCATCCACATTATCAACTAAATCCCACATACACTAACTAGAATTGTGATACACAAACACACAAAAATTATACATACAATCGCTGCTTGACAGGACAAACACATTTAACCAATGGAAAACAAACAATGCAAAAATAAAAAATGCCATAATTTTCTTTCGTTCTCCATATTTCATTTTCCATGGAAATTTAAATAAAAGCTAAAAATGTTAAATTTATGAACATTTCCTTATCCTATCAAACCTTTTTATATATTTTGGAAACTTATTATCTTGGTTCAGTTGAGATACTTCATTGTGTATTTTCATATATATATATATATATATATATATATATATATATATAATTGTGTATTTCTTCAGCTTATGATTTTGGTCTTTGATTGTAAGGTGTACCTTTTTATAAGTTTTATGTAACCAGATGACACCCACTTCTCTACAAGGCTCAGCATGTGTTATGTGAATAAAAATAATAAAAAGTCTTGTAAAATTAGTTATAAATTGAATTTTAAATTTGATAATTTCAATCCCATATGATTGTTATTTTGTTACTGATTCTTGTGAAAATGTCTATATCAGGTGTGTTTCAAAGATGCCTTATATGGGCCTCTCAATGAGAAATACAAAGTATTGCAGCAGATGGCAGCTTGTGAGTCAATTACTATTTCAACTGTAAAGGATTTCTGCAAGTAAGTTTCTTAGTATTTATTCAAAACCTTTTGCTTAGAACTTTAAAACTTTTCTCCATATGAAAAAGATGGAATCCATCTTTAAGAATTGAAACCATAGCAAAATTTACTTTTAAAAAATACTGACCAAGGAAGTCCTATTTTTTCTTGTCTATAACTCCAAAAACAGTAGGTTTCTTCATAATTTAATTGTTAATTCGAGTTCTGCATGAACATTTACACAGAATTATGATGATTTAGGAAAATTTTAAGAGATATTTAGCGTGTTTGCATTTGGGCATTAAAAAGCAAATTTACCCGTATTTGTTCATTAGAATGGCCTCAATCATATCTCAACAAGCTGACTTACATTGAATTATGATTTGTATGCTTATAAAATACTTGATGTGTTTCATTCTCAATTTGTCTTGGGGTGATCCTGACAAATAAAGGTTAATGTGTATTAGGCCATCTGTCTGTTGGCCTGTCATGGTATGGCTGGGATGATCCTGATCATGACAACCAAGTATAACTCTATAGGTGATGAATGGCCTTGTCTGGTTACTGCTAAACAACATCTTAGACAAGAGATTCCTCTCCACATATTGTATTTAGAAGATGCCACATGAAACTAAAGAAGGATTCCTGAGATTAATTGAAGTTGAATGACAAAAACTGGAATACCTTAAGATTTTAATAAAACTGTTTATTTTAGCTGTTGGTTACATAGATCTCAACTAGCTTCTTCCTTTCTCTAATTCTAATATATGACAGTGATCTGCACTAGTGTATTTTTATTGTCTCTTATCTCTGGTTCCTCTATCAAGGTTCACTATACACTTATACTTATGGAAAGTAACCCACCAGGTTGTAACCAATGATCTGACTATTAATGTACATTCTTAAGGTTTTCTTTTGTTTCAGAAAACAGCAATATCTGCTAGCCTCTTAACTGAATTGATAACCCACTTCCAAAAACTATTCTTCCTATAAGATCATATGCATATGTCTTTTATATATACAAACTGCACAGTCCATTAACTATGACTGTTTTTCTCTTTTTCCTTTAAGCACTTTTCTTCTGCATAAAAAAAAGCATTCCAATGGATAGGCCTTATATATAAACAATTAAATCTCAAAAGTTTTAAAGATAATTTTTGATTTTGTCTGATTTGGCAAGTGTAGCGGGTGGGGTGAGGGTGGGGGGGTACACAGCTGCACTCAGTTATCTTCAACTTAATATTATCTTCAACAATATTAATCTATCTAATTTCTTCAGAAGCCCTTAATCTATCTAATTTCTTCAGAAGCCCTTAATCTATCTAATTTCTTCAGAAGAATTAATCTATTAATTTCTTATCCTTAATTTCTAATTTCAGAAGCCCTTAATCTATCTAATTTCTTCAGAAGCCCTTAATCTATCTAATTTCTTCAGAAGCCCTTAATCTATCTAATTTCTTCAGAAGCCCTTAATCTATCTAATTTCTTCAGAAGCCCTTAATCTATCTAATTTCTTCAGAAGCCCTTAATCTATCTAATTTCTCAAAACTAGCATCCTAAAATTTCTCAAACCTACTTAATTTTTATTTTTTTGAATTGAATACAAAAAGTTAAACAAATTGATTTTTTTTTTTTTTTTTTTTTTTTTTACTGATTTAAGAGTGGATTTTAACAGCCAGTGAATCTATAATTGGTGCTTGATTAGAATGTGAATCACTGTGGTTATAATTTGCTATGTAGGACAAATTACAAATGATTTGAGTAATGGAACAGAGATACTAGTGTGAATTTTATTCCTGATGCAGATTCAAATGGGAATTGAAAAATTGATGTGAAAATTCTAGGTAGTCAAACCAGGTAATTTGGATTTTATTAGCATGTCAGAAGTATTCAGGATTTTTTTTTCTGCAGAAATGAAATTCATTTAATTACAGTCAATTAAAGTAGTACCTACAATTGTCTGGGTTTAAACTCAAGACTTAACTCGTAAGATGAAACAAGGAAAATTACTATAAACCAGCTGGCCCATGCTAAGTGGGATCTTGGTCAAAATTCAGTAATGAAACTCTCTGTTTTAAAAGTTATTTTCTTCTAACTCACTCTATTTGCTTCTGAGAGTATTTCAAGCAGTTTTTCCCTAAGATTTCCTCACATCAAAAACTTAAATATGTAAACGCAGATTGACTGAATGAAGCAATGGCCCCCAGGATGAGTAGTTGATTTGAAGGTTGTATTATACTAATTATTTATGAATATAGTGAAAAGTTTTGTTTTTTTTCCTCTTTATAATCTTCACATGTATAAAACAATGTCTCTGTACAAATTTATATGTAAATAATTAATAGAAAGTACTAGATAAAATCGAGTGAATGTACAAGATTAAAAAGTTTTTATATAAATTAAAAAGCTTAAAAAAAGTCTATCACTTGAATAATGCAGAGAGACAACACAGGCAATGAATTTACACATTGAATAGGTTATTGTTGATAGTTGATATTAATGATATATGGAATTGATTCAGTCTATTTTGACTAAAAAATTTAATTGTCGCTTTAAGCAAGATTTTTTTCAATCTTGTAATACAATTCTAAAGAAATTCTTTAATAAAATCCAAGGAATTTATCTTTTAATAGTCCATGCCACACTTGAAAAATTAATGAAATATTTTTTTTCTTACATCACATTCTTTGATGTTTTCTTTGTCTATGCAATTTTGTATAGTACTAATTTAAAATTTATGCTCATTTCTTTTATTTTTTGTCATATATCTCTTTGATTTTATCTTGTGATTCTTTCAGAGATTTCCAAATTGATTTGGATGATGGGTTGATCAAATATCTTGAATACATCATCAAATCTATTACATCGACCCACAATCAGTGGTCAATTTGTAACCCAGTCAAACGGAAACTGAAGCTGGACAAAGCTGTTGGTGCTGTAAGATGTGTTAAGTCCCAGTCGAGACTTATGAAAACTCTTACTGCCCTTATTAATTCAGTCAGTGTCTTATTTTATTTATTTTTTAAATATTGATTTTTATTTTACTTGGTACATTAATAATAATTAATAAATTAGCAGTGTTCTCATTAGTGCTGAGAATCTTAATTTTATATACATTCAGGATCATTTGAAAAATGGCCACTGGAACCTGTAAAAAAAATTTTGAAGATTTTAACATTTAAAAATTGAATAGTTGTTATAATTATAACATTGTACAATCTGGTCTTCAAGTGCCTCTGTCAAATTTGGTAAGCTTCTGCAAATTTTGAATGCAATCTTTTATTCAATCCCAGAGGTTAAATTGTACCTCCTATTATTTAATTTGAAGTAAATAGGAAGAATTAATAAGAGATATTTTCTAATGAGGACATCAGAACAGGAAAAATCTGTTCCCTTGTGGATTAAGACATTTAACAAAGGGACAGAGGCGGTACAACATATGTAACATAACTAGAACAACCAAGATGAGGATCCTAATATAAATATGTTAGCCTGTCATAAGCATTAAAAGAATGAAAAAAAATATGCATTAAAATTGCCTAAAATACATATGAAAATACATTATTATAATAATAATAATAATAATAGAAGCAGCAGTTCTTTTGCTAGTAATGGTTACAGTAATTCCTGACAAAACTTTAAATTTATTTTTTACATTTTCATTCACACAACAGATTGAAAGTGGAAACATGCTAAAACAAATTTTCACTTAAAATTACACAAGTCTGTGTTTAATCATCTCATTATTTTTCCCTAATGAGAAATATTTAGTTTGTACAGAATTCCAATAAAATGGCTGACAATCACATCACGTTGAAACACAGGTTCTTGTCTGATCACCAAAGTTATCCAACATTGAGCCTGGTCAGTATGTAGATATGCAGATATATACCAGGTGCTGTAAGTTTAGATGTGCACATGTTGTAATGGATAATGGCTTTGAATTGTTAATCCAAGAGTAGAATTCCAATTCCAATTCATTATATTCACTTAGACTCTCTTGAGGAAAAAGGTATGAATCCACCTCTTCTCTTCCCCGCCAACTGTGAGTTAATTAATAAGATTTGTATCACTAAATCATTATCTCAAAAAATATTCTTACAATAAAAAAAAAAATTCTCTGGCTTTACAGAACTTGCAAAGGGTTGATAAGCCATAGAAAACAGATCAATCAGTCAAAAACCAATAAAGCTAAATGTGGAGTAGCAGTAAAGTCAGTAGACTGTGATTTAAAAGAAAATGACAAATTTTGAATCACCTACAGTTGTTGCTAAAATACATTTGATTACTATTTGATTTTAATAATCATCACAATTATATATATTATTCAAAAGGGAATGAAATTTTGATATATTTAATTCTATCACAGGTTATTTACAGAGTTTGTTAAAAATAACATTTTATAAATGAATTTCTTTAAAAGTCACCTTTGTTGTCTTTTGTATATTTACTAGGTAAAATCAAAAGATAGTTAAAAAAAGATATTTGAAAAAAAAATAGACTTAAGATTGTTTAGTTCAAAATATTGGTAAACATTTACAGGTTGAGTAATATTTTTCTTGGTCTCAATCGGCTGTTAAATCTGTAATAAACAAAAGCAGTTTGAATTAAAACTTTTTTAAATGGGTGTGGAGGGGGAATACATTTCTATTTAAGGTCAAATTGATTTTTATTTCTTTTTTATCTTCTACAGGTAAACATATATGATTATGAAACCCTATGGTTAATTCTGGAAGAAGCAAGTCAAATTGAAAAAACTCCTATAATTGACAAGGTAAATTGTAAATATTTGCATATATTTTCCCAGCAAAGTAACTGATTATTATTCTTTGTTTATAAAGGAAGCAGAATCTGATGAGTTTACTTTATGGGAAGTTGTCCATGCGTTGACAAGTTTCTATTTATAGGCTCTACTGACCATGTCCAAATTATTTCATAATTTTAAGTTTTATATTGTCTACATAAAATAGTGCATCTATTTTAAATGAGCATGTATGCTATATGTACATGCATATATACATATATGTAAGTCTATAACAAATATTTTTTCAACATAACTTCTCCCTACATCAATACATTTTTATGCTATTGTTGACCTAATACAAGGCTTAAGTGTCACTCAAGGTAAATGGTTACTAAATGGGATGTTGTAAGGATATATAGGAAGGGAGCAAGTGTTACATATTTTGAGGATATGTAGGATTTGCGTGGTTAGCCTTCAACTTGAACAGGATAAGATTGTAGTGATCAAGGGTCAAGTGATCTTGGGAGTGCATTCCACATTGCAGTGGTTCCAGGGAAGAACTTACTCCTTAACCATTGGAATAGGAATAGAATGAGTTTAATGATTTGTAAAGATTGAACATAATACAGGGAAAATTTCAAATCAAAATTCAGCTAATTACTAAAACTAATTCAGTTATGAACTTAAATTCTTTTATATGACATATATGATATTTTATATATATATATATATATATATATATATATATATAATTTTTATTATAAGACATAATAAAAACAGAAGTACAATCAAAATATTGAAACAAGAAAGCTTTTTTAATAAATTTCAACATGTTTTTATTATAATTTCTTATAATAAGAAATATAATATATTGATCTACTTTGTATTGAGAACTTTTTTTAAAAGTAAATGCTATAGTGGAATTTTACTCCATCTGTTCTTTCTCATTTTTGTGTGCGTATGTATATATATATATATATATATATATATATATAAAACCTGCTAAGAGACTAATGGCACTTGGCTTGAAGATTGCATTGAAGCATGAAAGTGAGTCACCATGCAGTGTGGAATCTTCATCTCTCTGTGTGTGTGTGTGTATATATATATATGAAGGCCAAAAAAGTGAGGTACAAATATGTAAAATTCAGTATTTTTATGACTGTAAAAAGAAAACATTGTGTGTATCTATTATTATGTTACCAGCCCTACTATGCTACTAATCCACATTGATGCCCATGTTTTATTGGTTCACAAGCACAAATATACTCCTAGAAGAGAATGTTATGTCAAGAAATGGGAGTAACCATCATTCCTTTGCATCAACAGTATCCTCTGAGTAGAACTGATTGCTGGATTATTTTAAGGATCCAAACAGATAATCTGAAAGAGTCAAGTCTATGCAGCAGATGTTGTAAAATATTCCAACTTTATGACTTGTGCTACTCTTTTGTCAGACTTGGCTGTTTGTTGGGTTGTATTGACCTGGCACTCTTACATGTCCTGGTCTCTTTTGACAAACATCTTCACTCTGTCCAATCTTTCACAGTACCTGAGTCTATTAATTGTATAATGTGGTATTAAGCTCACAAACAACACACCTTTTGCATCCAAGAATCTATTGGATTGGCCAAATGCATGTTTGGTTATTAAGTAGAACACTTACTTAATAAACCAAACAAACTTTTAAGCAAACCTGATAATTATTGTCAGTTTTCTTGCTGGCTGCTGAACTCTGAATTTTTATGATCTAAATAATGATAGATGCTATCAGGTTATGAAATCAACCTTTTGTCTTTGGAAGTGATGAGGTTTCCACACCTATGATCATATGCTCCAGAAAGGCCCTGACTCCATTATACTGTTCCAAAAACTGAAAAGAAATGCTCATGTGCTGGAACTTGTATTATTCAGCTTGACACTCAGCAGGATAACTCTTTCCATTATTTCAATTTCTTCATTCACAATTCCACGGGCCACTGACTTATCACAAAGTTAGTGTCATTTATTATTTTGAATGAAAGTTCTTCTGTTGTCAATATATGTGGTTATCCTAGACAAAGCTTGTTCTGCACATTCATTTGCACCCTCAATGAATACAATACACCAGCCAGGCTGATACCTGCTTCTTATGTTTACACTACATAGCAACATGTTCATGGGGAATTTTTGTCGTCCCCCTGCTTCCGTATACAAAGATCTTATTACACTTTGTTGTGACATATTAAGGTAGGTACCTCCACGAAATCGCTAAAAAAAGAGCATAGCTTGATGAAAAAGACGCCAACCTTGCAAAACAAAAAATTTTATTGTCTAAATGCTTATGTTATTATTAAGAGGAAAGACCAAAGTTTTTTTTAATTATTTTAAAAATTTTTTCCTTCTTTTAGAACATTCTAAATTTTGATTAAAAAACTTTTTTCTATTTGTATCAGCGGAACTAGTAAATAACATAGACAATTTTTAGTACGTTTTTTTTTGGTATGACACACATTAATTTGAAAAATCGTGCAAAAATAGAAATAATTATCGGATGTTAATGAAACTTTCAGGAACTATTCACAGATGATCGAAATTATTATAAATATGTTTTTTTTTATGAAAGTCATGGTAGAAATATTTTTAAAAAATATTTATTACCCCCATAACTAATTTTATGAAAACGCTAGAAATTGATCGCATCGGTTTTAGTGATTACAATAAGTTAAAAAGCACAGGGCTTTGAGGAATGCAAATCATGTTTTTTTTTTTTTTTTTAATTGGATACCAGTACCTGAAAATCAGCTCTGAATTGTAACATACAAAACTCAATAAAACAAATATATTATTTAATTTCAAATGCTTTTATTTGCTTTTAGTTTTTTTATGAATATGGACAATATTTTCTGAAAGCAAAAAAAATTTTTTCGATGAAAAATGAATTTTTAATACAATTATTTGTTATTTCATTAATTATAATAGATTTTTTACATTTAAGTTGTTAAAATATTATAAAATTAGTTAAAAGCCGCATCGGCTTTCATAAAGTGTCCTTATGAGATAGATCTTTTTTAGCGCGTTGTAAATTGTATCATTTTGACTAATCAGAAGATCCCCAGTAATTAAGAAATGTAATTTTGTGTTTATAATCGAGCTGTAATTATAAAATACGGAAGACCAACCAGAATATAATTAAGTTGCGTTATTTGAGTTAAGCATTGTTCTCCGCTGTTAAGGCCTTTACTTTTTTGAAACACGTGTGGAGAAGTTAATTTGATTTTTCAATTTCAACTGAGAAGGGTACCTACAAGTATCAGTATCATCTTATGAAATTTATATGATCTTATTTTTATATTAATCTCAGTTATGACATTTTTCCATAAATGAAATATCAAAATTAATAATAAAATGAATGCAAATACAAATAACAGTAGAATGTAATAAATGTACATAAAATTATAGTATTTTATGTACAATTCTGATAAAATTTCATAAGAAAGGTACCTATAAATTAATTAGATAACTTTCTTAAGAAATATGAAATTTAATGTCACTCTTAACAGTTTTATTTTAATTTCTTTACAATATATTTCCCATAAAGCATCATAAACGTAAAAGGTGAAAGCTAAAAAAAAAAAAAAAAAAAAAATTAGACCGCTGAAAGTTTTCGTTAAAAATAACGAGGTAAATAATTTGTTCACTTAAATGTAAATTATTTCACTTTTCTCCTTCCGTAGAACAAATTAGCCTCATGGAATTCGTAAATATATCATTCATCACATGTCAAGAGACGCGAAAGTTTATGACCTGCTTTGTTTTATTTTCAAATTACATTTTTTGGCACAAAAGCTAAGTTAAGTTTGGTTCAAAATATTTTAAATAAACATTATAATTTCTGATTTTCTTAAAATAAGTTTTGAAAAAATGATAATTGATATTTAAAAAAATTTCAAAGTCAGATTTCAGTTTTTTTTTTAAAATGAAAAAAATGGTCAATTTTGCTGACTCAAAAAAAACTAGATTTTTAACGAAAATTTCGGACGTGCTAGGAACGATTAAAAATGTAAAAAAAATACCCAAAAATACTTTGACCTTTCCTCTTAATAATAACAAACATTTAGACGATAAAAATTTTGTTTTCGTCAAGTTTGGCGTCTTTTTCATCATGCTATGCTCTTTTTTTAGCGATCTCGTGGAGGTACCTATATTAAGGCTATTCTAAGTAGTACTGTTACTTTGTGTGTGTGTGTATACATCAAGGTTCATATAGGCCATCAAACCCTTGAAAAGACCTGGAAAACTGCAACAGCCCAAAAGCTCCTTGAAAAGTCCTAGAATTTTCTAAATTGGGCTGCTCTCACATCCTTTTTTTCAATTCATGAAAGTCAAAATGCCAAATCCTAGAAATCTGTTTTTTTACAAGCTAAAATTATCCTTTAAGAAAAATGTTTTTAGTTGTCTAATATTTGGCAATTATTCTGAGTGGTGGTTTGTTTCCTCGATTATAATGAGTTCATGACCTTGTAGTTACTTCTGTATTTTCTCATCTAAGTGATGAGAAAGAAAGAATATGAAGGTGTATCTTCTCCTAGCTGCTACCCTTACTCAACAAGAGAAAAAGTAAAGATAAAAGGCATCAGAGACAAGCAAACACCTTTGTCAAAGATGAATTAATTCACCCTCATTGAATTAGTAATTAAAAGGAAAATAAATTATTTTACAATAATAAAAAATACATTTTAGTAGAATCTTGAAACTTTTATCTGGTTTTTAGAAGTTGAACAATTGGACAAATTATATTCTCATATCAATTTCAAAAGTTATAAGTCCTTTTCATCTCTAGTCAGAAGGTGGGGGAAGTTCATATTGAAAAAAAAAATAGATAATTTACATGTTCCCTGTCAATGTGTATCTATGTGTAAACTATATTTGTCTAAATTGTTGCCAAAAATAACAAGTTTGAGAATCAAATTTGCCTCAAAGAAAATGTAGACAAGAAGGATGATAGTGTAGAAAATAATCTTTGAAAAAATAAGAATGTTATTTTTAAA